TTACTGATAGGTAGGGCAAAACTTGATGTGTTGTTGATTTTGCCTATTGTTTTAGATATTTTAAAATATTTATTTCGTGCATATTTGAGCACTATATATTCAACTGCTCTACTCTTCCTGTTTTTGGAAACATCTGCTTCTATAACTTTTGACATTAAATTTTAATTTGAGGGAATTTCCTGGTGCTTCCACTGCTGGGCCGGGTTCAGTCACTGGTTGGTGAACTAAGATCCCACAAGCCACGTGGTGTGGCCAAAATAATAATACTAATAAATTTTAATTTGAGAAATAAAAAATAAAACTAATAGCCTAGGGCCAAAAGAAAATTGTTAAATGCACATCTAAGAAATGGAAAGCACTCAACATCTGTCACTGAATTGCTTTTCTAAATTCTATGAGAGGACTTCCCTGGTTGCTCAGTGGTTAAGAATCCACCTACCAATGGAGGGGGCATGGGTTGGAGCCCTGGCCGGGAAGATCCCACATGCTGCGGAGCAACTAGGCCCGTGTGCCACAACTACTGAGCCCAGGTGCCACAACTACTGAAGCCTGTGTGCCTAGAGCCCGTGCTCCGCAACGAGAGAAGCCACTGCAGTGAGAAGCCTGTACACTGCAACAAAGAGTAGCCCCAGCTCACCGCAGAAAAAGAGAGAAAGCCTGCGCGCAGCAACAAAGACCCAACACAGCAAATAAATAAATAAATAAAAAGAAAGAAGAGATGAGAAGATGTAGAAACATATTACATCATTGTGTTCAAGCAAATGCAAAGAGTTGGAGTTAGTATGACATGTTTGGAAGACTTGAGAGATGGTTCACGGAGAGAAGGGTGTTGGCAGAGAAGAAAGGCGAGGAAAAGCTCGGTGGACAAGGTGGGACCAGATCATGGGAACCATAGGTGCCATGCTGAGAAGATAGAAATTCTTTTTATTTTTTTAAACATCTTTATTGGAGTATAATTGCTTTACAATGTTGTGTTTCTGCTGTATAACGAAGTGAATTAGCTATATGTATACATATATCCCCATATCCCCTCCCTCTTGCGTCTCCCTCCCACCCTCCCTATCCCAGCCCTCTAGGTGGTCACAAAGCACCGAGCTGATCTCCCTGTGCTATGCGGCTGCTTCCCACTAGCTAGCTATTTTACATTTGGTAGTGTATATATGTCCATACCACTCTCTCACTTCGTCCCAGCTTACCCTTCCCCCTCCCCGTGTCCTCAAGTCCATTCTCTACATCTGCGTCTTTATTCCTGTCCTGCCCCTAGGTACTTCAGAACCTTTCTTTTCTTTTTTGTTAGATTCCATATATTTGTGTTAGCATATGGTATTTGTTTTTCTCATTCTGACTTACTTGACTCTGTATCACAGTCTCTAGGTCCGTCCACCTCACTACAAATAACTCAATTTCGTTTCTTTTTATGGCTGGGTAATATTCCATTGTATATATGTGCCACATCTTCTTTATCCATTCATCTGTCGATGAACACTTAGGCTGCTTCCATGTCCTGGCTATTGTAAATAGAGCTGCAATGAACATTGTGGTACATGACTCTTTTTGAATTATGGTTTTCTCAGGGTATATGCCCAGCAGTGGCATTGCTGGATCATAAGGTAGTTCTATTTTTAGTTTTTAAGGAGCCTCCATAGTGGCTGTATCAATTTACATCTCAACTAACAGTGCAGGAGTGTTCCCTTTTCTCCACACCCTCTCCAGCATTTATTGTTGTAGATTTTTTAATGATGGCCATTCTGATCGGTGTGAGGTGATATCTCATGGTAGTTTTGATTTGCATTTCTCTAATGATTAATGATGTTGAGCATTCTTTCATGTGTTTGTTGGCAATCTGTATATCTTCTTTGGAGAAATGTCTATTTAGGTCTTCTGCCCATTTTTGGATTGGGTTGTTTGTTTTTTTGATATTGAGCTGCATGAGCTGCCTGTATATTTTAGAGATTAATCCTTTGTCAGTTGCTTCATTTGCAAATATTTTCTCCCATTCTGAGGGCTGTCTTTTGGTCTTGTTTATGGTTTCCTTTGCTGTGCAAAAGCTTTGAAGTTTCATTAGGTCCCATTTGTTTATTTTTGTTTTTATCTCCATTACTCTAGGAGATGGGTCAAGAAGGATCTTGCTGTGATTTATGTCATAGAGTGTTCTGCCTATGTTTTTTTTTTTTTTTTTTTTTTTTGGCGGTATGCAGGCCTCTCACTGTTGTGGCCTCTCCCGTTGCGGAGCACAGGCTTCGGCCACGCAGGCTCAGCAGCCATGGCTCACGGGCCCAGCCGCTCCACAGCACGTGGGATCTTCCTGGACCAGGGCAGGAACCTGTGTCCCCTGCATCGGCAGGCGGACTCTCAACCACTGCGCCACCAGGGAAGCCCTCTTTAATCCATCTTGAGTTTATTTTTGTGTATGGTGTTAGGTAATACCATACATAAGAATTTCATTCTTTTACACGTAGCTGAGCAGTTTTCCCAGCACCATTTATTGAAGAGGGTGTCTTTTCTCCATTGTATATTCTTGCCTCCTTTATCAAAGATAAGGTGACCATATGTGCATGGACGTATCTCTGGGCTTTCTATCCTGTTCCATTGATCTATATGTCTGTTTTTGTGCCAGTACCGTACTGTCTTGATTACTGTAGCTTTGTAGTATAGTCTGAAGTCAGGGAGCCTGACTCCTCCAGCTCCGTTTTTCTTTCTCAAGATTGTTTTGGCTATTCGGGGTCTTTTGTGTTTCCATAGAAATTGTGCAAACTTTTTGTTGTAGTTCTGTGAAAAATGCCACTGGTAGTTTGATAGGGATTGCACTGAATCTGTACATTGATTAGGGTAGTATAGTCATTTTCACAATGTTGATTCTTCCCATTCAAGGACTTGATATATCTCTCCATCTGTTTGTATCATCTTTAATTTCTTTCATCAGTGTCTTATAGTTTTCTTCATACAGGTCTTTTGTCTCCTTAGGTAGGTTTATTCCTAGGTATTTTAATCTTTTTGTTGCAGTGGTAAATGGGACTGTTTCCTTAATTTCTCTTTCAGATTTTTCATCATTAGTGTACAGGAATGCAAGAGATTTCTGGGCATTAATTTTGTATCCTGCTACTTTACCAAATTCATTGATTAGCTCTAGTAGTTTTCTGGCAGCATCTTTAGGATTCTTTATGTTTAGTATCATGTCATCTGCAAACAGTGACAGTTTTACTTCCTCTTTTCTGATTTGGATTCCTTTTATTTCTTTTTCTTCTCTGATTGCTGTGGCTAAAACTTCCAAAACGATGTTGAATAAAGGTGGTGAGAGTGTGCAACCTTCTCTTGTTCTTGATCATAGTGGAAATGGTTTCAGTTTTTCACCATTGAGAACATTGTTGGCTGTGGGTTTGTCATATATGGCCTTTAGTATGTTGAGGTAAGATCCCTCTATGCCTACTTTCTGGAGGGTTTTTATCATAAATTGGTGTTGAATTTTGTCAAAAGCTTTTCCTGCATCTATTGAGATGAACATATGGTTTTTATCCCTCAATTTGTTAATATGGTGCATCACGTTGATTGATTTGCGTATATTGAAGAATCCTTACATTCCTGGGATAAACCCCACTTGATCATGGTGTATAATCCTTTTAATGTGCTGTTGGATTCTGTTTGCTAGTGTTTTGTTGAGGATTTTTGCATCTATGTTCATCAGTGATATTGGCCTGTAGTTTTCTTTCTTTGTGACATCTTTGGTTTTAGTATCAGGGTGATGGTGGCCTGGTCGAATGAGTTTGGGAGTTCCTCTCTCTGCTATATTTTGGAAGAGTTTGAGAAGGATAGGTGTTAGCTCTTCTCTAAATGTTTGACAGAATTTGCCTGTGAAGGCATTTGTTCCTGGGCTTTTGTTTGTTGCAAGATTTTTAATCACAGTTTCAATTTCAGTGCTTGTGATTGGTCTGTTTATATTTTCTATTTCTTCCTGGTTCAGTCTTGGAAGATTGTGCTTTTCTAAGAATTTGTCCATTTCTTCCAGGTTGTCCATTTTATTGACATATAGTTGCTTGCAGTAATTTCTTATGTTCCTTATATTTCTGCCGTGTCAGTTGTTACTTCTCCTTTTCCATTTCTAATTCTGTTGATTTGAGTCTTTTCCTTTTTTTTCTTGATGAGTCTGGCTAATGGTTTATCAATTTTGTTTATCTTCTCAAAGAACTAGCTTTTACTTTTATTGATCTTTCTATTGTGTCCTTCATTCCTTTTTCATTTATTTCTGATCTGATTTTTATGATTTCTTTCCTTCTGCTAACTTTGGGTTTTTTTGGTTCTTCTTTCTCTAATTGCTTTAGGTGTAAGGTTAGATTGTGTATTTGAGATTTTTCTTGTTTCTTGAGGTAGGATTTTATTGCTATAGACTTCTGTCTTAGAGCTGCTTTTGCTGCATCCCATAGGTTTTGGGTCATCGTGTTTTCATTGTCATTTGTTTCTAGGTATTTTTTGATTTCCTCTTTGATTTCTTCAGTGATCTCTTGGTTATTTAGTAGTGTATTGTTTCTCCTCCATGTGTTTGTTTTTTTTACAGATTTTTTCTGTAATTGATATCTAGTCTCATGGCATTTTGGTTGGAAAAGATACTTGATATGATTTCAATATTCTTAAATTTACCAAGGCTTGATCTGTGACTCAAGATATGATCTATCCTGGAGAAAGTTCCATGAGCACTTGAGAAGAAAGTGTATTCTGTGTTTTTGGATGGAATATCCTATAAATATCAATTAAGTTCATCTTGTTTAATGTATCATTTAAAGCTTGTGTTTCCTTATTTATTTTCATTTTGGATGATCTGTCCATTGGTGAAAGTGGGATGTTAAAGTTCCCTACTATGATTGTGTTACTGTTGATTTCCCCTTTTATGGCTGTTAGCATTTACCTTATGTCTTGAGGTGCTTCTATGTTGGGTGCTGAAATTCTTTCTGTAGTTAATTGGTAGCAATGAAGAATATGAATTTAGAAAAGTGAAGTAATGAGGGAATTCCCTGGTGGTCCAGTGGTTAGGGCTCTACACTTCTGCTGCAGGGGGCCCTGGTTCAATCCCTGGTTAGGGAACTAAGATCCCACATGCAGCATTGATGTAATGAGAATAACATAAAAAATATTTTTTTGGTAGTCTTGAGTCTGTCTATTCATAGCCAGGCTGTGAAGGGTCTGTATCTTAGTATTGGAGTTATTCCTTTTCCCTCCAGATCGCTTGTGTTTGCTCCAGTGAGTTTCACCGAAGCAAACTGAATGATTCCATTCCTCACTCACTTAAGCAAAAGGAGACTTAATGCTTTTAACAAAAAGGATGCCTATTACAGCCCAAAATATTACTGAGGCCAGCAAAGATGAGTTCTGAGGTGGCTTGTCTGGGCCTTTATCAGTCCAGTCCTGCCATAGTTGCATGATTCTTAATGGCCTGGCATCCATTCTCAGTGTCCACCCAAGGAAGGACATGGAAGTGCCCCTCTGATGGTGTGGTGATAAGGGCCCTATACACCCTTATTCCAGTGACTCAGTTTCTTCGAAGCACTAAAAATTAGCTTCTATAGAACTAGAAGACTGTCACTTAAAATGATAAGAGAATTCAACCATGTGTCTAATTGTCCCTTGAAAGGCAAGCAAGGAAGAACCACTGAAGTCCATTCTTGGTTGTAGTTTATGCAGCAGGGAAAGGTCTAAGATGAGCTATTCCTTTGCTGCACTGATTAGCAATTCCTCTGTAAAAGGAGGGAGATAGTTAAGATTAAAGACTGGAAGAGATGTAGGTTATCCTGCTGTTTGTGTTTGACTGAGATATTCCTATAATATTTCACTGGACTGAGAACCAGGGGTCATTTCCCTGGTTTTAGAAGGCCACACTTAAATAAGATGGGACATACTCTCAGAAAGTTAAAAACTTGAGTGTATGTGAATGTTATTCAATCATTTATTCAACATATATTAATTGAGGGTAAACTATGTGCTGCATACTGTTTAAGAATCGCAGCATTTAACAAAACAAATGAGAATCACTGCTTTATTAAAAGCCTATACTCTAGGCTCTGTTTTTATTAAAAACCTTGTATAGAACCACCAGTATATAGGATTGGTTAAAAGGAGAAAGAGAGAGAGAAAAAAGAGACCAGCACATAAAAACATTTGTGCTTCAGTGGACACCATCAAGAAGTGGAAAGATAACTCACAGACTGGGAGAAAATATTTGCAAATTGTGTATCTGATATATATATATATATCAAGAGTAGGGCTTCTCTGGTGGCGCAGTGGTTGAGAGTCCGCCTGCTGATGCAGGGGACACGGGTTCGTGCCCCCGTCTGGGAAGATCCCACATGCCACGGAGTGGCTGGGCCCGTGAGCCATGGCCGCTGAGACTGTGGGTCCGGAGCCTGTGCTCCGCAACGGGAGAGGCCACAACAGTTAGAGGCCCGCATATGGCAAAAAAAAAAAAAAAAAAAAAGGAAAAAAAAAAAAAAAAAAAAAAAAGGACAAATAAAAGAAGACATACATTGTCCCAGAGAAGATATACAGATGGCCAACAAGTACATCAAAAGATGCCCAATGTCATTAGCCATCAGGGAAATGCAAATCAAGACCACAATGAGATACTACTCCACACCCATTTGGATGACTATGATCAAAGGGAAACAATAACAAGTATTGGTGAGGATGTGGAGAAATTGGAACCCACATATATTGGTGGTGGGAATTTAAAGTGGTACAGCTGCTGTTGGAAATAGTCTGGCAGTTTCTCAAAAGACTAAACATAAGAGTTACTGTATGACCCAGAAATTCCACTCCTAGGTATATATCCCAGAGAAATGAAAATATATGTCCATACAGAAACTTGTACATACATATTTATAGTGGCATTATTCATAATATCCAAATGAAAAAACAACTAAATATCTATCAACTGAGGAATGGATGAATAAAATGTGGTAAGTCCACATAATAGAATATTTTTTGTGGCAATAAAAGAGAATGAAGTACTGATACATGCTACATGGATGAACCTTGAAAACATGCCAAGTGAAAGAAGTCAGAGACACAAAATACTGTATGATTCTATCTATAGGAAATTTCCAGAATAGACAAATGCATATAGAGAGAAAGTTTATTAGTGGTTGCCTAGGGCTGGGGGCAGGGGGATGGTGGTGATGCTGTTGGGGAGAAATGGGAACTGACTGCATATGGGCTCAGGGTTTCTTTTTGGGGTGATGAAAGTGTCCTAAAATGAATATGAATATACTAAAACTATTGAATTGTGCAATTTATATGGCTGAATTGTATTGTCTGTGAATTATAGCACAGTAAAGCTGATATACATACAAATGGTAAGTGGTAAGAGATGTCCACAGGCAAGTGGTAAGAGATGGTCCAGTGACATCATTTAAATAATTTTTACTACAATTTTTTTCACTTCTTAATTTTATTTCATATCATTATTCTTAGCTCCAGGCTAAATGCTTGGATATATGTAAAGAGGCATAGAATGTGTCGTGGGTGAATGTGTCAGACTCGCTGTGGGTTACTGGCAGCTACAAAAGCGAAAGAGTTCTGGAAAGGAAATTCCCATCCCATTTTGTTAGTGGGGATGGCAGCTCCATGTCAGACCCACTTGAGTTAAGATCTAAGATCTGGATCTGTCCTCCATTCCCTAAGATAGATCAGGCTTGGCAGTCTGGGCTCGGCCATTTGTGGGAAACACCGACCTTACTTCCATCCCCGATTAGATGGCTAAATTCCCCCCTGTGGCCTGGGAAATTCCTTTTCACTGAGGGATGGGGACCGGGGTGAAGAGGGGTTTAGAGACAGGCTGGTGGACAATGGGATGGGAGCAGAGAAGAGTGCACCCAGGTTTTGTTTTGTTTGATGAAGCGACATATTTGAGAGAGAGGAGATAATCTTTCACCTCTTGTACAGAATATGGAAGCATAAATTACAAGTTTGCTTTCAAAAACCAAATAAACAATATAATTTATTATATGCTTTACAAGTGAAATAAACTTCATGTTATTTTCCAAGTCACTTCCAAATTCATACACTTATATATCACATCGTATATTTGGTTGGCCAAAAAGTTCGTTCAGGTTTTTCCAGACAGTGTTACGGAAAAACCCAAATGAACTTTTTGGCCAACCCTATATACATATATATGTGTGTGTGTGTGTGTGTGTGTGTGTGTGTGTGTGTGTGTGTATACATATATATGTATATACACATATATGTATACATATACACACATATGTATATATGTATATACATATATATGTATATATATATATTTTTAAATTGAAGTATAGTTGATTTACAGTGTTGTGCTAATTTCTGCTTACAGCAAAGTGACTCAGTTTTACACATATATACCTTCTTCTTTAATATTCTTTTCCTATTGTTTATTCCAGGAGATTGGATATAGTTCCCTGTGCTATACCGTAGGCCCTTGTTGTTTATCCATTCTAAATGTAATAGTTTGCATCTACTAACCCCAAACTCTCAGTCCATCCCTCCGCCTCCCCCCTCCCCCCTCCCCCTTGGCAACTGCAAGTCTGTTCTCTACCTCTGTGAGTTTCTCTGTTTTGTAGATAGGTTCATTTGTGCCATATTTTAGATTCCACATATAAGTGTTATCATATGGTATTTTTCTTTCTCTTTCTGACTTACTTCACTCAGTATGATAATCTTCTAGTTGCATCCATGTTGCTGCAAATGGCACTATTTCATTCCTTTTTATGGCTGAGTAGTATCCCATTGTATATATGTACCACATCTCCTTTATCCATTCATCTTTCGATGGACATTTAGGTTGTTTCCATGTCTTGGCTACTTCATATATTTTTTAAAAGTTACAGTGATTCAAGAAAGCTCCCAAATTGTTACATGAGGAGTATTAATAAATGCTCTATCAGAAAACAAAAAAAGAATGGAAACAATTCAAAATGGGTGTCATATTCTGAAATAAAACCAACATCAGTTAGGGCTGAAAAAATTTTAATGCAGTTGTTTTTAAACGGTAACAGAGTATATAGACTCTCGATTTCTATCCATAAAAAGGGGTGAAAAAAGACATCCCATTTATTTTCAGCTAGTCTGGAATCAGTTCTTACAACATTCTTACCAAGCTGAACCTGTGGGACAATTCACTAGCTTCCATTCCTGGTGGTTGACTCTCTCAGCTCTAGACTTTACTGCCTATAGTATCACAATTCTTGCCTCTTCCTATGTAGACGGTATATGATTTGAGCTGTTAGCACTTGTGGGGGAGGTTTTGCCTAAAATATTTTAATCCGCTGTATTCGGTACAGCTCCCAGCATTTGCTTCTGCATACCACACCAGTATTTCCCAAACCCTGCTACACGTTGGAGTCTCCTGACAGTCTTTAAGTATACTGACACTTTGTTCCCACCCGTAGATTTTTTGGCTTAACAGGTATAGGATGCAGCCTGGATGCTGGAATTAAAAAATTCTCCCAGTGTTCCTCATGTGCAGCAAGAATTGGGCACCACTGTACTAGACTATTATTTACGGACTCTTGGTGTAAGCCACTCTCTTACTAAAAGGGAAAAGCGTTAAGCCACGCACTGGTACAAGAAGCATGTGACTGTTAAACTGCTTGGTTGAATCTAAAGGCAAGTGGTAAGAGATGGTCCAATGACATCATTTAAATAATTTTTACAACAGTTTTTTTCAGTTCTTAATTTTATTTCATATCATTATTCTTAGCTCCAGGCTGAATGCTTTCTCTTTCTTCCTGACATTAATATCTTTTACATATTATTGTAACTTTATCTCTTAACTCTGTCGTCTCTTGGCAAGTTCTGCATGTTTCATTTCTTGCTCTTTTTTTGATGAATAAATCCCCGAAGGCTCCTACTTATATGCTTTGCTAGATGAAGGTTTCTTGTGTTCCCAATTTGAGCATTACCTGGGACTAGATGGTCTCAGCAAGCGGTGAGGAAAGGCAGTCTTGCCTCGATACCCAGTCCAAATCAGCACTGACCTGTTTCTCACCGACGTCATTGGAAACTAATCTCTAATTTGTTTTCCATTATCATTCCAAGATCTCCCC